AGGTCATGGACGATGCCCTTCCCATCGCGAATTTGGTGAACTTCTTCTCGAGGAACTCCCCTCCACGGTCAAAGCGGAGCATCAGTACCGACTTCTTCATCTGTCGCTCACCAACAGCAGCCACTTCTCTAACACCCGCATAACGTCGCTCTTCTTCGCGACTGGCGTCACCCACATGAACCGAGTGTGGCTGTCCTTCAGAAGGAGAAAGTACAAGCTGCCATTCTTGGCGGCAACCCAGAATGGTCCGCACAAGTCAATGTGAACGACAGCCAGTGCCTCCTCGACGTCCGAGCCCTTGTCGGGGAAGGTGTGTCGCCCATCTTTCCTCCGACACACGGCAAGTCGACCCCGGTCGACGGCACGATGTCGAGGCCAGTGACGACGTCGTGCTTCGCCGAGCTTTTAATCGTGTCGACGCCAACGTGCGCAAGCCTCGCGTGCCACCTGTCCGGCGTCGACTTTGTAGCCGATGCGATCGTCCGCAGAGCCACCACCTCGGTCGACAGCAACCGCGTCAAGCAGGGGCGAAGGTTGGTGCAGAGGACGCGGTCGGTGTAGCGTGCTCAACCGAGTACCTCCCCTACACACGACACAAGAAGCTGCTCATTGCCGTCTTCCTGCAGCTTCACACCGCTCTCCTGCAGCTGACCGGCTGACGACTGTCAAACTATAATTATATAGTTTGTATTGTTCTAGTGTAGGTGTATTAATCTGTCCTAGGTTTAGGGTTAGGGCTGACATATATCTTACTTGTTTGTTCGTTTGCTAGTCATTGATTCTCATATTCTAACATGGTATAGAGCTAGGTTCCCCCTAGGCGATTTTTCCCCTATACGATTTCACGCTAGGCGATTTTTTCCTAGGCGATTTTTCACTCGATAGTCATGGGCCCACCACCCGCGCGCCTCGTACTAACGCGCGCCCTATCATAACGTGCGCCTCGTACTAATGCACGCTTTGTCATAACGCGTGTCTCGTAGCGCGTCACCCGTCGCACGTCGACCGTCGTCCGTCGCCCATAGCCGGTTCGACCCTTCCCTCCCCCCCACCCCCCCTCCCCCCCCCCCGTCCGTTTTTTCTAGCACGCGACCATAGAACTCAGGCCCCGCGGCCCACACGTTAGCAGGCCCCGCAGCCCACGCGTTAGCAGGCCCCGCCGCCTTCAGTAGCAGGCCCCGAGGCCCTTGCTCGACGGCCCCGTGGCCTGCGTTTAGCTGGCCCCGCGGCCAAACTGTACGACCACCCCACCCCTTAGTGGCCCGTTGCCGCCCATTTTCTAACCGTGAACCGCCGCCCCACCTGTTCCCGCAGCCCTACTATAGCCGCACGCAGCCGTAGCCGCACGAACGGCCGCACATGCAACCGCACGCAGCCACACGAGCAGCCGCGCGCGACGGCCTGCAAAGCAGCACGTGCAGCCGCACGCTCAAACGGACGTGCAGCAGCTCGTGCAGCCTACGCGCCGCCCCGCGTCGCCCGTATAGCCCCACCGTGAATCAGCCGCCCCACCCGGTACTCTCCAACGCACAAAACTACACGGAAATAGACAAAACCGCACAAAATCGTACCCGCTACCCCACCCGTTCCAGTCACCTCGCCTGGAATCAGCCTCTCCACCCGGTACTCTCCACACGCAGAGCCACACATAACCGCACAGAACTGCGCAGAACCGCAGTGAACTGCCCACAACCGCACAAAACCCCACAGAGTCAGGCAGAACCGCACTGGACTACGCATAACCGTACATAACCAAACAGAACCACACAGAACAGTACTAGTAGACTGCCCCCAGCGCACCAGCAGCAGTTTAGGCTGCCCTCAGTAGAACCAGCAGCAGCATAGGCTACCCCCAATACACCAGCAGCAGCTTAGGCTGCCCCCAGCAGAACCAGTTGCAGCATAGGCTGCCCCTAGCAGACCCAGCAGCAGCTTAGGCCACTTCTAGTTGCGCCAGCACCAGCTTAGGTAGTCATACCACTAGTACTGCTGCCTCGACTGGCCCCTCTCTCCATACCAGCGTACCATTTTGATGTGGCGACAGTGGCCGCAGCAACAGCGGTGGCAGCAGCAACGGTGGCCGCAGCAGCAGTAGTGGCCGCGACAGGAGTGGCCGCCGTAGCAGCCGTGGCCGCGGCAGCAGCCGTGGCCGCAGCACGTGTGGCCGCAGCAGCAGTAGTGGCCACCGCAGCAGCAGCTGCTGCGGGTACAGCAGCAGCCTCCACTGCGGGGCCCTGTCGGACCCAGCGAGTACACACACCGGTACGTGGGAGCTGCAGGTGCGGTAGAGACTTGTGTCTCCAGTCTTGGTGCCTGTGTAGTTTCATGTACAGACACCTTAGCGGTTCTTTGTATGGGAACTGCAGCTACTACTAGTCTAGTCCCAGACTTTGTAGCTGACTCGTGAGCGACCTCACCAAGTGCACAGTTTTCCTTCACCCTAGATTCTGGAGCGTCCAGCAATTTCTTTCGCGATTGCACCAACCTTACACCACTGCACACTCCAGTCACTGTTGCCTTAGCTGACCCCTCCGTGGGATTTGTACTTGCCCACAGCAGCATCGTTCGTCCGTATCCGGCAGCTCCGTCGGGGTTTCTCCCAGATTACTACACCCCCTCGTTCTCTAGGAACTTAGTGGTTGCCAGTCACCTCCACGACCGTTGTCACCACTTTCTCTCTGGACGAGCCCGTTGCCTCCTGCACAGTCGGTGCCACTGTAGTGCCTCTAGCCACTTTCCACAGGGAGCCGGGCTCTGGTCTGTAATCACTATACACTGGTTCCCACCATAGTGGGTCAGGTCAGGTAGCTGCTGTGTCGTGCGAGTGTCGGTCACTCACCCACACGTCGGTCCTTTGACACCACCGTCTAGGTCACCCGTCGTTCCCACGTTTCAATCGGATGGTACGTCACCGTCTGGTCTCATGTCTCCCAGAGTCGCTTGCCCCGCTTCCTTGCTCGACTGCGCCGCCGTGCACTCCCTGCGTTGAGGGTCAGCAACGCCCTGCCCCTCACTCCTTGTCGTTCCCCCCAACCACAGCTCCCTTCCAAACACTGCGTCTGGACGTCTGGGGCCCCTCCCCCATCCGTGGCCCACGTCAAAAGTGCTACTTCCTTATTGTGGTGGACGACTACTCCCGCTACACCACGGTTTTACCTTTGCAACGGAAGGCCGAGGTGCCTACCGTCCTCGAGCCGTAGCTACTAGTGAGGGGTGACACTCAGGCCCTTTGTGGGCTCCGCCTGCACTCGGACCGTGGTGGTGAGTTTTCTTCCACTCGCCTGGAGATGTTTTGTCAGGGTCGGGGGATCATCCAGTCTTACATGCTACCGGAATCGCCGCAGTAGAACGGGGTAGCCGAGCGACAAATTGGCTTGGTCATGGAGGTTGCACGGACCTCCATGTGCCATGCCGGTGCCCCCGGTTCCTGTGGCCTCAGGCAGTCCGCTACGCCGCGCACCAGCTGAACCTGTGGCCTAGTGACGCTCGGCCACGGGTGACGCTGGTCTCCTATTGGACAGGTTCTCCGGGTGTAGCAGCTGACTACCGCGTCTGGGGTTCCCTGGCCCATGTTCGCGCCCTTGGCACAAACAAGTTGTCTCCACGCACCCGTGCCTGCGTCCTTCTTGGCTTCCCACTTGACACCTCCGGCTGGCAGTTCTACGACCTGGTTGCTTGTCAGTCGTTCACTTCCCACGACGTCATTTTCGATGAGTCAGTAAGTTACTACAGGAGTCGCCCTCACCGAGGTTGTGAGACCTTCTCCCCTCTGTTGTTCCTTACCACAGAGCCCCCCCCAGTCGCCCCCGTCAGGTGTGTCGTATGTCACTACGCAGTCGCCCCCCTCGCATCGTCCAGTCCCTGCCGTGTCTAAGGGTGTGGGAGGTGCAGTTGTGGAGGGTGAGGGTACTGGGGCTGCAGAAGCCGGTGGTGTCGGCTCTGAGGTGTGGGCTCTGAGGTGTTGGTGCAGGGGGTGTGGGCGTGGAGGTCACTCCCGTGGAGGACACGGCAGCCTCGAGTCGGCGGCCTCGCCCCACGTCACCCCCTGGCTTCCCGTCCGTCCCGTAGTTCCCTCCTCGTTCTTCTCAACGGTCGGTTGCTGCGGAGCCTGGGGGTGTTCCATCGGGAGGTATTGAAGGCCCCGAGGGTGTCGGTGGTGGAGGTGCTGGTTCTGGGGATGCTGGAGTTGGAGGCACCGGCACTGTGGCGCGTACACCGAGCACTGTATGTTTCCTGACCCGTGAGTAGCGTCTCCTACGGTTAGAGAGAGGGGAGCGTGAGTGGTTTGAGAGGGCACAGTAGCAGCAGCAGCACCAGCAGCAGCAGCAAAGCAGCCTCAGTTGCAGTAGCAGGAGAGATTAAAGGAGGAGTCACAGCAGCAGCAGGAGAGAGCAGAGGAGGGGTCACGACTGCAGCAGCAGGTGCAATTGCAGCCGCAGCAGGAGAGAGTAGAGGAGGAGTCACAAGTGCAGCAGCGGGTGCGGTTGCCGTCAAAGCAGGAGAGTGTAGAGAGTGAGATCTTCGTCAATTCTTGGTCAAATCGTGCGATCTAAATTGCCTATTGTAGGCAACGTTAAGACGCTCTAGATCCAAGTTGAATCAGGTCATTTAAAGCAGTGACCGGAACGCTATGAACGTTTAAAGCCGCTGTGCCGAAATCCGACTGTGCACTCTATCCTTCGTTTTAGGCACATTGGAGCCTATTGTGACTATAATAGTACGTGCTGCTCCCTCCTTTAGTGAAACTCTGCGGGTGTGTAATTTGGTCAAGGACATGTTTGTGGCGTGGTGTGGTATGCACCTCTCGCTTCGTCCCTGACTGGCCGCACTGCTTGCTCTACCTTGTTCTTGCCTCTGTGGGACGTGTGGCTTGATGTGTCTCTCCATCCTCTCACCCTCCCTCCTCCCTTCACTCTCTCTCATCCATTCACCCTCCCCCCACCCTTTCACCCTCCCATACCATTTCACCCTCCCTCCATCCCTCCTGGACTACTTCGCAGCCATCAGCTTTGGCAGCCTTCCTCACAGCGCTGCTGCTAAGAGTCTCGGGCGGGCTTGTCTCCTCTCTTGTCTCTCGGGTAAGGCCACCAGCTCTCCTCTCTCGTGTGAAGGGGAAGGGCCATCTGTTTCCACGCCTCCCTCTCACCCTTCTTGCCATTCCAATCAATGACTTGGCGAATCATCACAATCTCCTCACAAATTCGCTCCTCGAGTCCTGACAAGTCTCAGAAATTTCTCTTTGCAAATCATCACAATTTGTAACAAGGCTCAGGAGTCCATCTGCCTACTTCTACCCTTCTTTCCCCTTGCAGGTTATCATAATCCTCCTGCTCTTCCCTCTGGACCCCTTTGCATCGCTTTAGAAAGTGCCTCAATCCCCAATGGGCGTGGTAAGCATGATGAGGGGTGCCTTCTCAGCCCAGTATGTGTGGTGAGATCTGATAGGGGGGTGTTCCTAGAAATTGTTGGGTCCATTGGACTCTGGTCCTTCACACTCCTCTGGGCCACGTCTTGACTGGCATTGCAGGGATGATCGTCAGCACCTACAGACACTGTGGGCGCTTTGGACTCTGTACCTCTCTGCACTGCTCTGAAAGGTGCTTGAGGTCTTGATGGGCATGGTAGGCATGATCGTTATCACCCAGCTGGCATCATCACGCCTCTACCATTATGAGCCCTCATTCTCACTCCTCCTCCTTCATTCTCGCTCCTCCTCCTTCATTCTCGCCCCTCCTTCATTCTCGCTCCTCCTCCTTCATTCTTGCTCCCCCTCCTTCATTCTTGCTCCTCCTCCTCTTCCTCCTCCCCCTCCTCCTCTCCTCCTCCTCCTCCTCCTCCTCCTCCTCCTCCTCCTCCTCCTCCTCCTCCTCCTCCTCCTCCTCCTCCTCCTCCTCCTACTCCTCCTCCTCATCATCATCATCATCTCTACTCCTTCTTCTACCCCTTCTTCATAAATGGCATTGTGATGCTGATGCTCTTTCCTCATAAATGGCATCCCTTACTTTCTTGCCACACACTACCCCTTTCCACACCCTACCCCTCCCCTCTCTACGGTCCCCCTTTCTTTAGGGTGTTGCTCTTTCCCACCCATTGCCCTTCTTCAGGGGAAAATTGTGGCCGTGCTCTCTTTTCATAATTGGTGGCCCCCACTTTCTCATTGCAACCTACCAATCTCCACAACCTTTCGTACCTCCCTCCTCCCCATTCCACAATCAACTCGTTCTCTTTCCCCCTTTAACAGGGTATACTGGTGGCAATGGTTGCCCTCTTCATAACTGACGTCCCTCACTTGCTCTCCTCCTCTTTCTCCTCCTCCTCGGCCATCCTCACCTCATCCTGTGCTGTTCTGCCTGTTGGTAGTGGAGGTGGCGGATCAGGGTCGGTGCTAACGAGTCCGGGCAAGGGCAGTAATGTAGTTACAACTGAGGGTCCTGACGAGTGAGCTGCCCTGCTGCTGCTGCTGCGTACGAATTTGCTGGTGGTGGGGTTGTGGTTTGGACTACTGCATGCTGTTACTGCATGGTCTTACCTCACCAAATCCTTCACTGCAGTTTTTGCACCAGGCTAGACGATATCAGGGTGCAAAACCCTTGTGGCTCATACTTTAGTGCTGGGTTTTAAGTTGCACCCATGGGCTTTGATGTTGGAGTTATGATCACGCTGATTTCCAAGAATTCAATGCTTAGTTCCGGCAGAGTGATCTCACCATATATTGCAAAGCAAGCGGATCTATTGGTTCACGCCTTCAATATTTAGAGTGCAAATGGATTTTTGTATTCGAGTTAGTTGAGAAACAATTTCTATGGAGGATATAAGAAGATTGTTCATACCGAAACGTGTACTCGTAGCTGGAAGATTTCAAGTATTGCACATATTGCTGACGTGCTTTACCGGATCGATTCTGCTGACCTTGGCAAACATCAAGGGCCCAAAGTGGCTGCTTCTCGGAAATAACAAGCTCTCCGGTGAACTCCCCGTGTCCGTTATACTCGCTATGAAGAGCCTCGAAGAGGTGGATTCGGGTAAAAATCGCTTCACTGGTTCGTCTATCGCCGCGCTTGCCGCCCATCCGAATTTGACAGATATAAACCTCAGTTCGAAGCTTCTTTCGGGCTAGGTCCCGTCCCAGATCGGGCAGATGAAAAAGCTGGGGGGGCTGCGATTGGCTGGAATTAGGCTGAAGGGAACATTCGCCAGTTTTGACTAATGAATATGCCGAACTTGCATACCTTGGACCTTTCGTTCAAGAGGCTAGGAGGGGAGCTTCCTTGGGCGAATTTGAAGACCACCCCGCTTATGGAGCACCTCGACCTGCAGCGCAATGCGTTCATCAGCGCGATTCCCGCAGATGCATTTCAGAAGGTGCACATGGCATGTTTCAACATATCCTTCAACCTCTTCTCCAGGTCCATGCCAGATTTAGGGTTCATTGGAGGAGAGGAGGAGCGGCCGGTAGACGTGCACGGAAATTATTTCTGGGGCAGCCCCGAATTCATAATGTCTAATCGGAAGGTCTCTCCGGAGGAGGGGTAGGCGAATCCGGAGTCAGGCGACGACGAGTATCTCGCGGCGCTGAATTGCCTCGAAAAGAGCGTCACGTGTAACATGAAACAGCAGCGGAGCGCTGCAGCATGCACTAGATTCTGCGCCACAAGTGCCACAAATGGCCTTGGGGCATGGTGTGTGCGTTCCAGGAGGGAAGGGGCAGTTCAAATGCAGGTGTGCGAGTAGGTACAATTGGTGCAGGGAAAGCCGCACGAATGCGTCAAGGCCTAGAGTTACTTATGTACTTAGGCGCGTGGGTGCACGCTATTGTCGCTTAGAGCTGCGATTGTGCTGAGAGGTTTTTGGAACATGTAGTAGGTCCTTTTATATGTCAGATGCGAAAATAAAAACCTCTAGAAACCTTATAAGTTGACCATGGCACTAGCAGGGAGTTAATTGTGTGCACCGATGTGAAATCATGAGAAGTAAGATGTGGGCTGATTTAAATGTTACCTCAAACATGGGTTTTGTGTTGACTATTAAAGTATACAGTGCCATGGTTGTTAAGACTATGCTCCATTTGTTGGAATCACTGATGTTGGAATCACTGAACAGGAATGAATGAACTAGCAGTGAAATAAGTACAAGTACCTAACCCTAGAATTGTGTACCCCCTATAGGCTAACCCACTGTAGCCTAAACTAACAGAACATATCTAATGTTTGACACACCCCCATAGGCAAAGTGGGGAGAACTAGGGGTCACAAGACCAGTCAAGGCAAAGCAAGGCAAAACAAGCTCAGGGTGGATCTCAAGGATACCACACAAATTCCGAGCACAAGCAAGTGGTCACAAGACCAGTTCACATGCAGGTTTATAATAGAGCAAAAGGTACAATGATCACAACCTAACAAGAGTAAACATGCAGGTATATATATAGAGATCACAGTACAAACAGACTCAAGAAGTAAGCAAGTGAGGTCCAGTAGGCACAAGGCCTAGAAGAGTGCAAAAGCGCTGATGGTCACAAGGCTGAAGCGCCTTGGTGAACACATCAGCAGTGTTGGCCTCAGAGGCAACGTAACGCAGGCGAAGCTGACCACGCTGCTGCAGCTCTCGAGCAAGGAAGTAACGCAGAGCAATGTGCTTCGTTCTGTGCTCCAGTCTGTGCTCCTCACACAAGGCAATGGCTGCCTTGTTGTCGACGTACAGCACTGGAGGAGAACGAGGCTGCTCTCCAAGGTCGGTCAGCAAGTAGGTGAGCCAGCGTAGCTCCTGGGCCGCCATGGCTGTGGCGTAGATCTCAGCCTCACAACTGGAGCTGAGAACAGAAGAAGAGCGAGTAGAACGCCAAGAAACAGAACCAGAGCCAAGACTGAAGGAGTAACCCTGAGACGACCGCTCAGTAGCCTGGTCGTCTGCCCAAGAAGCGTCTGAGTGCCCAGTGAGAACAACTGGGACTCGCCCTCCAAGCACTAGCCCCATGCCCGACGTACTGCACAAGTAGCGCAACACCCTCTTAGCTGCATCCATGTGCTCCTTCCGGTGACGGCCGGGAGCGACATAGCGTGCAAGAATGCTGAGAGGGTATGCAAGGTCTGGTCGAGTGCAGGTCATCAGGTACATGAGGCAACCAACAAGCTCTGGATACGGGCCACTCGGCTCTACGGATTCATCCGAAGGCAGAGCTGAGAGCGAGTGACCAGTAGGCAGAGGAGTGGGCTGAGGCGAGGAGTACGTGAAGCGGAAGCGCTGAAGGACCTGCTGCACCATGTGTGACTGAGTCAAGGTGATGGTGCGGCGTGCTCTGTCCCGGGTGATCCGCAAGCCAAGATAGCTTGTCAGTTCACCCAGGTCTGTGCACATGTGTCTCTTCTGCAGCTCCGACTTCACGTGGGCGAGTGCCACAGTGTCAGCAGTAGCAAAGACCAAGTCGTCGACGTACACAAGGACGTAGAACGGCGGCAGTGAGGTGTCGGTGCGTAGAAACAGCGACGGGTTAGCAGTAGAAGGCGCGAACCCAAGAGCCGCAAGCGTAGTCCTCAGTGTGTCGTGCCACTCACGAGGCGCCTGGCGGAGACCGTAGACTGGCCGTCGGAGGCTCCACTGGGTACCAGGAGGGAACGACCCAGTGAAGCCAGGTGGACGGCGCAGCCAGATCTCCTCGTGCAGGCTGCCCTGCAGGAAAGCAGTGCTGAAGTCAAGCGAGTGGAGCTCGTAGTCACGCTGAGCGGTGACGTGCAGCAGAACCCGAAGAGTGGTCATCTTCGGGGTCGGGGAGAAGGTCTGGAAGAAGTCAACTCCCTCTCGCTGACTGAAGCCTCGTGCAACGTAACGCGCCTTGAAGACAGGCGGAGAGCCCGACGGCCGCTTCACCCTGAAAATCCACATGCCACTGACGATGTTCGCCCCAGGTGGGGGAACCTCGTCGACGTAGGTGCCTGTGGACTTCCAAAAAGCCATCTCTGTGTCCATGGCTGTCTGCCACTGAGAAGAGTAGGGACCGGCCATCGCCTCTGCGTAAGAGCGTGGGGTCGGGATGTCTGGTGCATCCGGGTCTCCCTCAGGGGCAACAAGCATGGACACGAGATGGGGCAAAGCGGCAGCAAAGCACTCAAACTCCTCCTGCCTGTCCTCAAGGACGTCAGTGCCAAGAGCACACTCACCCCCGACGGGCGGAGGACAAACAGACTCAGACTCAGCAACTAGGCTAGCAGCGTAGTCTAGACGACAGCGAGCAGCAAAGTCGACAAGCTCAGCAACTAAGGCAGACGCAGCAGCAGACTCAAAGGAAGGGTCAGTGACAACAGTAGCCAGGAGACGCGTGACAGTAGGACTGGTAGCACAAAGAGAGACTGACCCAGGGTCAGCAAGAGCAGGAAGAGAGGAAGCAGGAGGAGACGGC